AAAATAACTATTACAATGAATTTCCTTCATGATTTGGATGCTCTCATAGTAGGTGACGTTGCACCAAACTGGATTAACAATGTACTTGTGTTATTTAGTTCCAGAAATTTATTTTATATGCATAAGTGTTTTTTTGTTGTTATTTATTTGATCTCAGTGTCATAACATCTAGTTTAATATTTGGTATATGTGTGCCCGAATTTAAGAACTGTTTTACGATAAATGAAAAAAAATCGTGATGATTAAAAAGAAGAATCTCAGACAAAAAATTATGCCAATGACTTCACTCACACAAGTTTTCAGTTAGATTAAAACGTGAATTTGGTTTTAGAAAATTATAGAAATCAATTTTAATGCACACTTTCGTTGATGTATCAACCGTCAAAGGTGTTCGACACTTATACTGAGTGTTGAAAACATTTCTAGGATCGCTTCTATTTGGTGACCCTCGGGATAGAAGCGAGTGTTGAAAACATTTTTGTTGATGTATCAACCGTCTAAGGTGTTCCACATGTTTTGAGATGCCTCGTTGATGCTGGATATGGGAAAAAAATTCTTAGCGGCCAACTGGCTATGAAAAGGCTCAACTTAAAGTGAAAAAGGAAGTGGACACTCATGGAACACTTTTTGACTTGGTTACCAAAGTGACCGCTATGCAGGCGTCCTTGGAGGGTAAAAAATGGCCCTTGATGAGGTAAAGCATTCCTCAACATTTGTCTTTTCAAGTTACTAAATTGAAAGAATCTCTAATGAAGGAGAATGAGGCAGTCAAGAAAGCTTGACGAGTGAGAAATAAGTTCACTCTTAATTGAAGTAAGAGCTTGATTATATCGTCGATGAAAAAGACTCAAATAGGTCTATGACACTTTAAAGAATTCTACTGACCAGTTAGAGGTTTTGTGTCAGGGCGTTCAGGTTCCCGAGACGAAGATGGATCAGAGAAGGTTATTGAGTGGGAGATTATTAGTAATAATGAAAATGAGGAATGTGTTTGAACTCAATTTGGGCTCTTCTCGTATTTTATTTGTTTTATTAATTTGATAATTTAGATTGATTTATTTATTTCCCCATTTTGACCGCCTACGATTTTATGGATTTGTTTGATCATTAACCGTCCTCGTCAAGAATGTTTTTCCCATCCCTCGTGATCTATCGGGCAGGGAAAAAATTGTCGACATATTTGTAAAGGATGTCATAGGCTTCTTCGTCCTCGACGCACATACTTCCCGCGAGCGTGTGGTAATATCCGGTACCATGGTCGTAGTGGTCCGAGCACCAATGTAACGGGAACTTAGACACGCGCCCCACCACCGGTCGGCCTTCGGCATCCATGAGGGGCTCCCCGTGCTCGTCAACTACCGCGGTTTCCTCTTCATACATAGAATCCAAAGCAGTTTGGGTGACCGGCTGCAGAACGTACCACTTGTCCTTGAAGCCCCGGACTGAATCCATGTACATCCTGAACAGCCTCTTCGACTGTTTCAGGGAGACCCAACTATGCCTGCCTCCTCGAGACTGACGTTGCAGGTGGAAAACTCTGAAGAAAAGGGGGATGGTCGCCCCGATCCTCAAGAAGCGGCATGTCAGCTTGAATGCCCGGAGGAAAGCAATCGAATTAGGATGGAGTTGGGAAGGGGCCAAGTTCAGATGGCAGAACACCCCGGCTTGGAAATCACTGAAAGGAAGTGTGAGACCGAGATCCCTAAACACGATCTCGTACATTGGAAACCCATACTCGGTGAACTCCGAGCAGATTCGTGCATCAAGGGACGGCCTTGTCACAACAAAATTCTTCTGGAAACCCGACTGACTACCGCCGCGTTCGACGACAGTGTATGCTCGCCGACTACGCCGACTATATGCCGAGGCAATCCACCGGGGCTTGGCGCCCATCCAATCCAATGAAGGATCATCGACGGTATCAACTAGAGTCACGTTCTCTTCGGCACTTTGGTCCTCGACCTCATTACGTCTCGAAGACTCCGGTTCGTCAGCCATTTACCTGCAAAGCACAGGAAATTGGTGAAATTCGAGAGTAAATCCACATGCTCGCCACAGTGACGGGAAGTAGTGCACGACAAGCCAGACACGCTCGACCAGACGTCGGGAACAACAAGAGGATAGCATGAACACCCCGCGCGATAAACATTGAGGACTCGAACAAAGATCCTGGTTTCGCCTCCCCGACGCTAAAAAACCACGACGAGTTGTCCCACACACTTCCTAAGTGGTCAACGTCCCGGCCAGCTAATAGGTGCGCCGACCTAAACTATGAATGTGACGAGCAATATCATGAATCCTAAGCCTAGAACCATGAGTTTACCGGGCAGTATCATAGATTATGCGCCTAAAACCGTGAAGGTCCCAGACAACATTGCGAGTCACATACCTAAAGCTATGAGTTTACCGGGCACAAACATGAATATACCGGGCACTAATCCCAGATATGGGTTTCTAACGTTCAAATAACGGTAAAACTACCTACAACGAAGAAAAATAGGAGGGATAAACACTTACTTGGAAGCAAAGAAGAATGTACGGCAGCGATGAAAGAAATCAACGGAGGAAGATGCGGTAATCTTGCGAAGTTGTAGAAGAACAGCGGCGGAAAAGGCAGAGGAAGAAGGAGAAGCGCGAAGAGGAAAAACAAATTATGGGACCCAAGGACCCTATTTATAAGGATGACGTGGAATACGAAACGTCGCCCCGGGGAGCCACAAACTTCCCATCCTCGACGTCTACTCCCCTAGACAATGATGGCCCTAATGTCGCTAGGGTGGCGTCACGGTTCCCAAGGATTGCCTCGCGTACCCAACAAACGTAACCCGCGAGGAATCTCCCGAGCACGCATCGACGAGGATTACGCCACGAACGCAACTCGTGAGAAACTCCTCGAGCAAGCGCGAGGAAGCAATATCCTGGGTCGGACATCAAACCCCGTGGTAAAGGCGAGCTGAAGTCAAGTCATAACTCCTGCTCCAAAAGCCACGACTTGGGGGGCTCCTGTTCTGGACTGGGCCCGCCCTGGCCCAAAAGCAGGACAAAGGCCCAATCCAAGCAGCTCCTCGAGAAATGCGCGCCCGCAGATTCCCGCCAGCGTGCCCGACCACAGACTGCAGCCATGCCCGCCGTTTCCCGCGACACATAGTGTCCCCGACCAAGAGAACTCCAGCTCGAGCCTCGCTCGAGCACTTTCCTCATAGGGCAGATTCTGTCCCCTCTGACCGTTATCGAACCATCTAAACTCCGAAAAGACCGCGTCTTCGTTCCTCCTCATTTCTCGTAGAGCATCACCAGGAAGGGGACCACGTGCGGGTCCCCATTACACACGTAGAACCTGACAGTTCCTTTAATGGGCCAGTTCTGGTCGGCCCAATGAGGGGACCTTGGCCCAACGCCGGAGACTATAAATATCCTCTGCTCCTAGAGGGTCAGGTATTCATCTCTTACGCATACATACACTTTTTGCCTGCTCATTCCGTCACTTATTTTAGCATCGGAGTGCCTTGCAGGTACTCCTCCATCTCACTCAAATTCTGCCCGGAATCAGTCGTGACGGTTCAAGTCTGATCAGGTAAAATCAATTAACATTATCTTCAAAAGAACATTACCTTTAAAAAAATATATGTCAGAAAATATATTTAACAAAATTTCAGTATGGACCCGTTTTTTTAACTTTAAAAAATATTTTTTTGTATATTATTAATTATTAAAATATTAAAACCGTTTTTTTATGAAAATTAACAAGAGTATGTGTCCATATGTTTTAACTATAAAAATGTTTTATAAATATTAAAAGTTTTTTTAAAAATTCTTTTTATAACTTTATGGACTAATTTTGAAATACTCAAACATAATTATATATTATTGAAGATTAAAATATAGTTAAATTTTAATTTAAAAAATACAATTTAAAAATATTTTTTTATAAAAAAAAATATTTTGAAATAGTTACAAATTTAAGTGATTTTTTAAAATTTAATATACACAAAAATTATATAAAAATATTGAAATACCTAAAATAAAAGTTTAAGAATAATTATATAAGTTAGTTTTCTGTTTGAAGTTTTAAAAAATATTATTTCTAATTTTTTAAAATAAAAATATGTAATTCAAAAATAATTTTTATGAAAAACTATTTTAAAATGTTTCAAATTTCAGATAACTTTAAAATTTTAAAATAAAAAAAATTATAGCAAACGGATTGAACTACTTAAAAGAATATTATAAAAATAATATTAAATTAACTTTAATTTAATATTAAAAAAATAATATTAAAATTTCATTTAAATAACTATATAGATTTTTTTTTTAAATCGATACAAACCAATCTTATATTATTATCTTTTAAGGAAATTAAAACAAACTAAACCCTATACGACCTTAACGCACACGTGTTTTCAATTGAAAAACAAATTATAATCTTAATTTTAAAACTGGAACAAACTATTCCTATTAAATAGTTGCCGCTTTCATCTACCTATTTTATCTAGTTTAATTATTAGAAAAGTTAAATAATAATTTTTTTTTAAATGAGAGTAACAAACTATTCCTATAAAAAGAGTGAAACAAACTTTTTTTGAGAGTTACTATAATATTAAATAATAAAAATAATAAAAATGTATATATATAAACCAATTTTTTAACTTATTTTAAAAAAATTAACAGTGTGATAGCAGCAAGAAGCACAAAGTTTAAAAATTAAGTGAGTAGATTTCAAATTATAATCTTAATTTCAAAATTCTTAACAAACTTTTCCTTAAAAAAATAACTGCTATTATCTAGCCTTTTTTTATTTAATGGTGAACCACAAAATTATAGTTCATTCTCAAGACTTATTTTCGTATAAAAACTACAAGAAAAAGCCATAAATCGTCTAGTTACTACTTTTATTCAGTAACATGAATCCATCCAAAGTATCGTTGTCACCAATATCAAAACTAAAGAAAAAACGTGATTACAAAAACAAGGATAAAAATATTAGATACACAAGTAACAACATGATACTCTTGAAAACGGCAATGAAGAACTCAATGAAGAATGAAGGAGGGATGCAGGCTACGTTTGCAAATAACATGGTTATAAAGTCCAAACGCGTATCACCAAAACAATGTTGTATCCGTCGTCAAAACTTTCAAACCACGCCGTCTAGATTATCTATCGTGTCTACTGTTCAAGAAGACTTGTCCATCTCATCAATGTCGTCTAACTTATCCATCAAGTCTCCTGCTCAAGAAGACTTGTTTATCTCACCAATGCCGTCTAAATTTTCTATCAAATCTCCATAAACTTGTCAAATTTTTACGCACCCTAGAAGATACGATAAATTATGTCATGCTTTTACGGGCACTTTCCAAATCAATTTACTAGAAAGATTATTTTAGATTCTATTGTGTAGATTTTAAAATGTTAATTTGGATTCAATTCTGTTTTGTTAGCAATTTTGATTCCTATGGATAATACCATAATATTCAATTGCATAATTTGTGAGTTATATATTGCAAGTGTTTATTCTAATAGATAAAAAGAAATATTTGAATAATTGTGTTAAAATATATTTAATTTATATAAATAAAAATACATTAATTAAGTTCTAGTGAAACATTAAACCGAAAACCATAGGTTAATATCATTATACAATGTTAGGGTTATAGGGGTGCCCATTTAAATGCGTTGTTGTAGAAAAACGCTCTTAACTAATGCATAATTGTTGTGTCATATTCCATGGCTTAGGGGATTCGATATCTTACTAGGATGCTTCTATTGAAAATTATCAAGACGTTGGTGTTCCAACCACTTGGTAAAATTATCAACTATTGCTATTAGAAACTTAAGATGGGTTCCAAGGGGAAGGGATCTAGATTATTATAGAAATTTTTTGGAGCACATAGATTCCTTCTTGCATTTAGATGATTCATAGACATCTTATTTTTCTTCCAATCATTTCGGAGGAGGGGTTGAAAAACCTCATTTTTACAACAATCCTTATACAGAGAAGTACATTATGGTTCTTATTTTTTACAAACGCGACTCCAATTGGGTCAACATAGAGCATTCCTTTCTTGACATTACACTCTAATAGGTGATGCTCAAGTGGGTCTCCTGGTGTCGTTTACTATCATCATCATAAATTTAGTGTTTTGTTTACTCTATGTCCTGAACTAGCAAGCGAGAGTAGGACGTTATCCTCGGCGTATCATCCTCAGACGGATGGTCAAACTGAAAGAACTATTCAGTCGTTAGAAGATTTATTGAGAGCATGTGTTCTTGAGCAGGGAGGTTCGTGGGATACTTATCTTCCATAAATAGAGTTCACTCACTACTACAAATAAGGGAAAAGACAGCGCTTTTTTAGGCTTTTAACGGCGCTTTAAAGCGCTTCCTAAAGCAGCGCTGCTAAAAGAAAAGACAGCGTTTTTTTCAATGTAAAAACAATTTCTTATGCCCACTTCAGACAGCGCTTTTAGAATAGACAACGCTTTTTTATATACCCCTTTAGCAGCGCTTTTGCTTTAGACAGCGCTTTGTTATATTTTAAGTTAGGCTTTAGACAACGCTTTCCTTTAAAAGCGTTGTCTATTCCCCCACTTTAGACAGCGCTTTCCCACTTTAGGCAGTGCTTTTTTTGAGTTTTTATTTTTTATAAACGCAACTCTAATTGGGTCGCCTGGTGTGGTGTCGTTTACTGTCATCATCATAACTTTAGTGTTTTAATTTCTCTAAATGTCCTGAACTAACAAGCTAGAGTATGACGTTATCCTGGACCTATATCTTTATTGAGACATGCTTAGTTAAGGTATGTGTAGTTAATGTACATTCTCGAATGTCCAAAAAATTTCTTGACTAACCCGACACTTAATTAATTATTTAATTATATTATTTTTGGATTATTCGTTGGAAAGTTACGAGATGTTAAAAATTGTGGGTATAAATTGTTAGATTATTATTAATTAATTAATTGGTTGATTAATAATAATAATGTTGGAATTAAAGGATAGTTATGTTGGGACTATTTTAATGGTTGAAAGTAGTAATATAGGGAGGGTGTTGTTAAGCCCATTAAGAATAATGATAATGTGAGGTTCTACTTAAACAAAGGAATAGGGTTAATTGAGAGGTTGCATGAAAAATTGGTCGTGAGAAGTGTAGAGGAAAGGAAAAGAGTAAAATCTAGGTTCGATCAGAAAATTGTAGAGCGACTTTCAATCCAAGGTAAGGGTAGGATTCTAACTCTATAATGAGGATTTTGATGAATGATTGATCTTTGTTGAATTTAATGATGTTGTTATATTTGATTGTGCATGAATTGGGATATTATGATTGTGTTTGTTGTTGGGAAATCTTGTTGTTATGATGATGATGCCATGAGACCCCAACCTAAAACCTATGAGTAATAGAAATTAGGATTAGAGAATTTGATGATGAAAAAGGACCTGTAATTGGTATACGAAAAGTATTGCATTGTGATGAATTGATAGATAATGAAACTATATGTTTAGGTGACTTTTAGGACCCGTAATGTGACAAGATTGCAAGAAAATTTGGCCTGGTATAGTGCAGAATCACAAACAGGAAAACCCTGTTTACAGAGAATCGTCGGGCGATACAAGGAGCATTGTTGAGTGACGGTGCTTCGCTGGGCAAAAGTAGAGGCTAGAATAAGGAAATTTTTTGGATGATCTACTGGAGTGTGTCGCGCTTAGAATCGTCGGGCGAAGGGTGGCGCGAAGGCAGCGACGCTGGGCTTTATCGGGCGACGGTTGTCAGTAGCTGATAGATATTTTTTGTTGGATTTTCTTGAATCGACCATAACTTTAGTATTTAGTTACAGAAAAGGATGTAGCAGAGTTAGAAAAGAATGAATAACAGTAGAGGCTATTTATTAGTAACAGAAGTGAATAACTATAGATTAGCATAAGTATAGCAGGTAAGATTATTAGGTTACAGAGATAGTCTCGACAAGAAGTATAATATTAATAGGGGTAATTGATATATATATATATATATATATATATATATATATATATATATATATATATATATAAGTTGTTGTGATGTCAGTGTTATTAATCGTCAGAGTTGTAGGTAGTAATGAGTTATGTTGAAATGCCTCTAATTATGAGCAGATATAAAGTTGTAGACTTATGGTCAATGTTGAATTAAGTTTAGTTATTATTGTTATTGTTATTACGTTCATGGTCAAGGAGCATCTTTGTCGACGGAGCTTCCAGTTCGTCCGGAAGCGGCGCGGGGATCCTCCTAGAAAATGAGGAGGGCGTAGTGATCGAGCACTCGTTAACTCTCTCCTTCCCGACTTCGAACAACCAAACAGAGTACGAGGCCCTGCTCGCAGGACTAAGGCTAGCCCAGGACCTAGGAGCCCGCGAGATACAAATCTTCACGGACTCACAACTCGTGGCTTCCCAAGTCTAAGGGAGCTACCAAGCTAAAAACGACAGCCTCGTCGAATACTTAAACTTAGTCAAAAAACACATGAAAAGGTTCGACCGAGCAGAAATATCACACGTTCTGCGCGAGCAAAACACAAGGGCAGACATATTGTCCAAACTCGCAAGCACGAGAAAGAAGGGCGGAAACAAATTCGTCATACAAGAATCCCTGTCACGCCCGAGCATCGAGAGGTCCTCGACCCCAGTCGAGGTGCACGCCATCGGAGACACCTCGAGCTGGATGACCCCGGTGTACAATTTTTTGACAAAGGGCGAACTCCCTTCGGACCAGACAGAAGCGACCATCACGAAACGACGGGCATGCTCCTATGTGGTGCTCGAGCATAAACTATACCGCAGGGGATTCTCGATTCCCCTCCTGAAATGCATCGACGAATCCACAGTCCCCGAGGTATTACGGGAGATACACGAAGGGATTAACGCTCAGCACATGGGTGGCAAGTCCCTGGTGAGAAAAGCCCTGCGAGCGGGGTACTATTGGCCGACGATGCAGCAGGACGCCAAGGAACACGTCAAGAAGTGTGACAAGTGCCAAAGGCACGGCGACATGCACCTCGCTCCCCCTCACGAGCTGAGCATACTTTCATCCCCGTGGCCGTTTGCGTGGTGGGGGATGGATATCCTTGGACCTTTCTTGCAAGGAACTTATCAAAACAAGTTCCTCATTGTGGCCGTGGATTACTTCACGAAATGGTTAGAGGCCGAGGCTCTCGCAAAGATCACCTCGCACAACATCTTCCATTTCTACAAAAGAAACATCCTCGCCAGATTCGGGATCCCGAGAGTAGGGGTGTTCATGGTCCGGTTTGGATCAGTTTTGAGACAAAATATCATCCGATCCAAAAATATATAAAGCATACGGTTTGGTTCAGTTTTTGGATGACAACAAGAAAAATCCAATCCAATCCAATTTATACGATTTACTCCGGTTCGGTTGAATCGGTTTTATTCGGTTTTTAAACCAACACTATTTAGAAATTTAAAAAGAATATATTTCAATACCAGTTACAATTATGCCACCAACGTCTACTGAGACAATATCTAATTGCTATATTCATATGGCTATTTGATGTCATTATTGCAAAGTTTCATTATAATATATGTATAATATCTATCCCAACGAAATAGACATAGCTATAATATATAATATATATAGAGATATGCTTAGTTCTTATATGGAGATTTGTATTATAAATTAAATATATGACAAATATATAAAACAGTGAACAAATGAAGATTCCAAAGCTATATTAAAGCGAATATAATAATAAAACTTCAAGAAAAATATCAATAACAGTGGACATACGAAAGTTGCATCACAAGGAATATATAATAATAATATGACAAACTGCATTATATATAGAGAGAAGATCTGCTTTATATATGACAACATAATTGATAGTTTTAAAATCAGAGCCTGCAACATAATTGATAGTCAAATAACAAATTTTCTAATTATCCTACAATAGCTCCACTCCAGCTTCACAATTCTACCCAATTCTTTTAGAATGCGGATATCAACAGCTAATCAGAGTCTATATCAGATACACCTTCATTCAATTGAGGGATTGGAGCAAGTTCTACAAAAATAAAGATAAATATTACTAAATATAAAAGATTAACAATGCTCAACAAAAAATAATATAAGTTATAAGTAAATTACCTAATTCCAAATTTTCTAACTCATCCACAAGCTCTTCAATATCCACCGACATCAGGGAAGATTTACACCAATTTTGTGTACAAATTAAAGCTTCAACTGTTTTTGGCGTAAGAGAGCTTCTATAACAAGTAAGCACTCTTCCTCCGGTAGAGAA